GGCATACGTCTGTTGGTTTGGTCAGATACAACCTGGAGTGCAGGAGCGCGTTTTTATTTCAGGGTTGTCAAATGCATGGACATTTTATGGGTCACTTCAACAGCATTTATTGTCATAGTGTGTCGCTTTCCATCCCAAAATACCGAAAATACCATTTGGTGTGTTAAAGTTTGGTCAGCGGGTATTCGGTTTTTGTTACCAAACTATCCAGCTATTAAAGTCTTAAGCCTGAGTGTTTTGTCTTTAAAATCGCGCCTCACTTTCGCCAGCACCCTGTATTTCGCCACCCTCGAAGGTACATCGTTGGAACAACTCCCTTGCTTTTCCTATTCGCGACGTTGTAAGGGATAGGGGCGAGAGCGGGCCAGCAGACCCGACAGTTCCAAAACGCAAATTGAACCGATTTACGACATGCTAAAGGGGTGATCTGTTGGGTCCGGTGAAACCCGGTGAAATCACGTTTGGCCATCACTTTTTTTCCAGTCGGGATGAAAGGCCATTTGAGTGGGTAGAGTCTGAGGGCTTTCGAGCGCCGCAACTTTGCGGATGTCAAGTGGGGTGTTTTGAGTTCATTCCTTGGCCTTGACTCTGGATGACCGTACACTTGAGATGTTTATGTGGGTTGCTGGTTTTGGTAGGCTGATTGTGGGTTAGGGCAATGCCGTTTTGTGATTTTTCGTGATGCGATATTGAACCGGAACACCTTAACCTTAGCAAAGAATACAAGCTGTGTCCTGGTACTTGACTGGTGATGGTATGAGGTTCATCCCCCCGCCAGCAGCAGACCCGGAGCGCGGCCGGTTCCATCGACGAAGGTCTGGCAGTGGCCGGAGCTCGATCCCCTGCCAGCAGCAGACCGAGCGCGGCCGGTTCCATCCGACTGAAGGTCTGGAGTGGCCGGAGCTCGATCCCCTGCCAGCAGCAGAGAGCGCGGCCGGTTCCATCCGAACGGAAGGTCTGGGAGTGGCCGGAGCTCGATCCCCTGCCAGCAGCAGACCCGGAGCGCGGCCGGTTCCATCCGAACGGAAGGTCTGGGAGTGGCCGGAGCTCGATCCCCTGCCAGCAGCAGACCCGGAGCGCGGCCGGTCCCATCCGAACGGAAGGTCTGGCGGTGGCCGGAGTTCAATCCCCTGCCAGCAGCAGACCCGGAGCGCGGCCGGTCCCATCCGAACGGAAGGTCTGGGAGTGGCCGGAGTTCAATCCCCTGCCAGCAGCAGACCCGGAGCGCGGCCGGTCCCATCCGAACGGAAGGTCTGGGAGTGGCCGGAGCTCGATCCCCTGCCAGCAGCAGACCCGGAGCGCGGCCGGTCCCATCCGAACGGAAGGTCTGGGAGTGGCCGGAGCTCGATCCCCTGCCAGCAGCAGACCCGGAGCGCGGCCGGTCCCATCCGAACGGAAGGTCTGGGAGTGGCCGGAGCTCGATCCCCTGCCAGCAGCAGACCGGAGCGCGGCCGGTCCATCCGAACGGAAGGTCTGGGAGTGGCCGGAGCTCGATCCCCTGCCAGCAGCAGACCCGGAGCGCGGCCGGTCCCATCCGAACGGAAGGTCTGGCAGTGGCCGGAGTTCAATCCCCTGCCAGCAGCAGACCCGGAGCGCGGCCGGTCCCATCCGAACGGAAGGTCTGGCGGTGGCCGGAGTTCAATCCCCTGCCAGCAGCAGACCCGGAGCGCGGCCGGTTCCATCCGACCTGAAGGTCTGGGAGTGGCCGGAGCTCGATCCCCTGCCAGCAGCAGACCCGGAGCGCGGCCGGTCCCATCCGAACGGAAGGTCTGGCGGTGGCCGGAGTTCAATCCCCTGCCAGCAGCAGACCCGGAGCGCGGCCGGTCCCATCCGAACGGAAGGTCTGGCAGTGGCCGGAGTTCGATCCCCCGCCAGCAGCAGACCCGGAGCGCGGCCGGTCCCATCCGAACGGAAGGTCTGGCAGTGGCCGGAGTTCGATGCTCCGCCAGCAGCAGACCGGGAGCGCGGCGGAGCCGCAGCGTCAGCGGCCGGTTGGTTCATCGGCGACGCCGGCGCTCTCCGGGCTCGCCGAGGACCGTCGTGTCGTGAGATGTGCTAATACGTGGGAAGCCCGGCCGCGCTCTGTGCCGCGTCACCGTCTCCGCTGCCAGCGAGCGCTCGGACACCGCAACCAGGGTCTGGCGCCGAGCCCCGCTTACTGAGGCTCCGGTCCGCCACCGAGCCCCGCTTACTAAGGCTCCGGCATGACGCTCTGCACTTAACACATGACGGGGCAGATCGTATTGTCGCCAATGAAGTGGTCTGAATGCGGAAGGGCTTTTTTACATCGTCGGCGCGGCTTCAGCTGTGCAATCTACGCCCCTAGCACAACGGAATGGCGGCCGAGCTTTATTTTTGTAGTGGTATTGATCGATGTCTATGGCTGCTTGTATCGAGATCCTTTCTCTGTCAGTTGCTGTGCTGCCCTTGTGACGCAGCGGTCGTTGCGGTGTTTTGTTACTGGTTTGCGTGTGCAGGCTTTACTGTGCTTTGTGCGCTGTTGCGCCGTCTTGAGGTCTAGCGCCTGGCCGTGCGAGCTGGTCTGTGCTACTTCCGCGGCTGCGCTGTATTGAATTGTACTGTATTGTGCACTTACAGGCTTATTCAAATTCATAGCTATTCATGATCTTGAGTCGACGTCATAAGGAGATTCACAGGAAAAAGACGCCCTCACGTAAACATAAGCACGCTGGGCATGACAGACAAGTAGATACATCAGGTTTGGCTCATAAGATACATCTGGCTTTGGCTCATAAGGATCGCACCAGGCCAAGCTGAGAGGATTTTGAAGTCCTTCAAACCTGCCCTGGACGACCTCTTACCATAGTAGCGATGAATTAAAAACAGCTGCCGAACGATGCCGGAATCGCTGTCTGCCCGATTCTGAATGGGTTTGAGGTAGATCAGGTTTTGGTCCTCGCGTGTTGTGTTCTCTCCTGGCGTTGTGTGGTTAACTGCCCGGGTGCGGCTCTAAGCCCTGCTGTTGTCAAAATTCGTTTCCGTTTTGGTACATTAGGTACCGGTTTGGTACAAAGCGTATGGTACGTCGCCAAGTGACAGCAGACAGCGACTTGGGCATGTGGAGCGCATTGCTTGTGTGATTGTGTTCTCGCCGTCCCGTGATGACTCGCGCACAGAAGTTGACTAGCTTTTGAATGCATTCCATGGAACTGGTGTTGCGGCTACCATGGATGCTTATGCACTTCCTCGCTCGTGGAGGATCAGTGCGTTAACCACAGCGTAGTGTTTCCGTCGTTTGGCGTTGTTTTGCGTGACTGAGATCAGAGTTGAGGCCTGTACAGCGGGTTACAAGCTGTTTAATGCGGGGCTCCGCCATCCAGCCGTGGGTCCCCCGTCCGACCGTGGCTCCCCCGTCCGGCCGCGGCTCCCCCGTCCGGACGTGGCTCCCCCGTCCGGCCGCGGCTCCGCCGTCCGGACGTGGCTCCCCCGTCCGGCCGCGGCTCCGCCGTCCGGCCGTGGCTCCCCCGTCTGGCCGCGGCTCCCCCGTCCGGCCGCGGCTCCCCCGTCCGGCCGCGGCTCCCCCGTCCGGCCGCGACCTCCCCGCCTAGCCGCATCTCCCCCGTTCAGCCGCGACTTCCCCGTCCGACCGTGGCTCCCCGTCCGGCCGTGGGTCCCCCGTCTGGCCGCAGCTCCCCCGTCCGGCCGCGGGTCCCCTGTCTGGCTGCAGCTGCCCCGTCTGGTCGCGGCGCGCCTGACCCGTCCCGCCCACCCACGTGTGCCGCAGACCTGCGACTAACCCGCTGGACGAGGTGCAGTGGCTGGACCAGTACAAGCCGTCCGAGGACACCGAGCTGCAGCGAACCGCCGACCAGATCTTAGGCTCCGCCGACGACCCCGACTTCTCCGGCTCAGAGGTGCGGCGCGTCGCCATGGCCAGCTCCGTGGCCGACGGTGGGTTGGTATGTTCGGAAAGGAGGTGGGGTCCTCAGAATCCGCCTGGTGTCCTCCTTTTTCGCGGAGGTGCGTCTACTTAGCCGGTCTGGGAGTCTTTCCCCCTGAGAGGTAGGTCCGTGCAGCGGGTCCAAATTTCCCTGTTTTCTCTGTGGTCGATCCTCCCAGTCGCCACGTCTTCTCCAGTTATGCCGTGTTAGGTCGGTGTGCTGTTGCCGTCTTCCGAAATAGGCGTTACAAGTTTCAGGTTATTCCCGCCACTTGGAGGCCTGGAGGAGGATGCGTTTATTGAATGGGTCGTCGTGGATTATTGGATTAGGCTTCGTGGAAGTGGTTTAAAGCATGCTCTTTCTTTTCAAGGCACTGAGATGAACTGTCATGACCACCAGGTTTCATCAGTTTGATCCAGTGTCTCGGGACCTGTCTTGTTCCTGGGCGGATCTGCGCTATGATCTCGACCCAACGACCTTTGAGAGGCATTCCCGCTGCGAGTATGCATGGTCCCAAACACGCTTGAAAAACGATGTCATCCCGTGAGTGTCGCCGCCAACGATGGCGTTTGGTGCCCCGCCGCCTCGTCCGCCGACCACGAGTGCAGCTTGCCCACGGGATGGGTCGGCCGACCGGCAAGTCGGTCCTGGGGTTTCGGGTCGGCGCGTCTCGTTGGAGCAGGGCAGAAACCAGAACCAGTGTGTCATCAAGTCTGGAAATGTTGTCAGGAACGCCGATGCACCGATATGCTGTTTTGGCCGTCATGGGTCGACCGTTATGTTCCTGCACGTCGCATTCACATGCATTGGTCCACGCGCCGCTTGCCGTATTATGCTCCTCCCCGGATCTCAGTTTCTGTATGGACAGGGTCCGTGGCGGCCCAGCGCACGCTTCCCGTTTGGCATCGCGACGCGGCGCGGCGTGTTTTTTTTTTCGTAGCCACTCTTTCTCTTCACGTGGGAGGCAGAGCGAGCACGCGCTTAGACGCTGTGCTGCGCTGCTGCCAATGCTGCGCACCGCTCCGCGTCCACGATCTGGTACCGCCCGCAGTTCATGAGTTTCCTGGCCAAGATTCGAGACGGAGAGGTGTCGCTGCCTGAGCCGGCGGCGGCCGAGGTCCACGAGACGGCACAGGCCGACCCCGTCACAGTGGCAGGTGAGAGACCGCCACTGTTGACCCTGTCACAGTGGCAGGTGAGGGACCGCCGCTGTTGACCCTGTCACAGGGCAGGTGAGGGACCGCCACTGCCGACCCCGTCACAGTGGCAGGTGAGGGACTGCCACTGTTGACCCTGTCACAGGGCAGGTGAAGGGCCGGCACTGTCGACCCCGTCACAGTGGCAGGTGAGAGACCGCCACTGTTGACCCTGTCACAGTGGCAGGTGAGGGACCGCCGCTGTTGACCCTGTCGTAGTGGCAGGTGAGGGACCGCCACTGTCGACCCTGTCATAGTGGCAGGTGATGGGCCGCCTCTGTCGACCCCGTCACAGGGCAGGTGAGGGACTGCCACTGTTGACCCTGTCACAGGGCAGGTGAGGGACCGCCACTGCCGACCCCGTCATAGTGGCAGGTGAGAGACCGCCACTGTTGACCCTGTCACAGTGGCAGGTGAGAGACCGCCACTGTTGACCCTGTCATAGTGGCAGGTGAGGGACTGCCACTGTCGACCCTGTCACAGTGGCAGGTGATGGGCCGCCTCTGTCGACCCCGTCACAGGGCAGGTGAGGGACCGCCACTGTCACTGAGCTACTAAGCGGGCTGGTGTCGACGTGGTATGACACAAATGTTCTGTTATTTTGTTTTTAGTGTGGAATGATGTGCTTATGGTGTACGTCTTGCGAGTGTTTTGTGTTGCATGCGGCAGGATATTTCAGTAAACTCGGAAAATGTTGAATGTGAATTAAATGTATCTAAGATTATTGTGTATGTTTATTGTAATATAAATTAAATGGCATTGAATGCAAAATGTAATTTAGCTCACTTCTGTAGTTTATCGTGCGTGTGACAGATATAATATAATGATTTAATTCACCTGATTTCCCCAACGGGTGATTGCTATCCGAAGTGTAGCTCCTTTTGCATGCTTCATGCTTTTTTGTGCCCGCATGATGCGTAAATAAATATGTTTTGTGTGCGGTTAACTATGATTGGATTTAAAGAGGGGGTAAAAGTTATGATGGAAAGAAACCCCCTCCTTCAAAAGTTGTGCTGCGTGAATTATTAGGCCGTGGCATGCGGGATCTCAGATCGGGCCGCATTCTTCTGCATCGTTGCAATGTGACCACGGTTCCCTCTCCCCCATTGGATTGACACGAAGGACGTAAGTTTCTCAACTGCGAAAAGCGGAAATACGCAGGTCGAAATCGGTTCCTGATCCTGTGATACGGCTTCGCAGCGGCACGAGAATAACTCTGAGGAGAAAACAAGTCGTGTAGACATAATCGTAAAAGCGCAAGTCGATGTATGCAAACGGTCACGCGGTCTACCGCGCAAACTTGCCACCGGGCCGTTTTGGGCCGCTTTACGAATTAATTTCAGGCCTCAACAGCCAAAGCAAATAAAGGCGAGAGACCAGCTGCATGATGTATGCAAAGGTACCGGCTACGACTAGAAAGGAGGTCAAAACTGATCGACCCATAGGTCAGCTCGTTGCTGAACGGCAGGCTGCCATTGTTACCTTTGAAATCCATCTCGAATGCACAATGCCGTGACCTAAACAAACAGAGACCGGGTCATCAAGATGGTACAGATGTGTAGGCCTACTCGTTGCGACCAGTATCCGCACGGATATTTGCGTTACAATACTCTCGCTACTGTCGCCAAAAAAAGATAAACAGGCTCAGATTCCTGTATGGCGTCGTCCAGCTTGACCGTACTTAAGCAGCCAGATTTGAAGCAATGCTATTTAATAAAGGCGCGTTGCTGACGCAAAGCCAATTGAAGGCACAAAAAGTTGAATAAGTTTGCATACGGCCACCGGATCTGGGCCACAGTTGGATCATATGTGGAAGTGACTGCCCGTATCATTGGGCCACAGTTGGATCATATGTGGAGGTGACTGCCCGTATCATTGGGTCACAGTTGGATCGTATGTTGAGGTGATATCATAACATAAAGTTTAATTGCAATATCTGTCGCAGATTGCGAAATATTTCGTAATTACTGTGGAAAAGTGCCCGAACGTCCCACCAGTGAACCTCCTCGTGTCCAGTATAATAGAAGTCACCTTATCGAGTCATCTACATCACAATAGCCGACAGCCCTCACTGCTGTTATCGCCTGGCTCGTGCATGCCGCACAAGGTGGCTGGCTGGTCTCGCTGCCTTGGTAGTTCATGCTGGGGCGGAATTATTCACGATGCCTTGATTGTGCAAGACAATGGAAAGACTTAAGGCATCAGATATTGTGCAAGGCGATGGAAAGACGTAGAGCATCAGGTATAAACCAGGACCGATTCGCTTTGAGATGTTCAAAAGGTGAGAAGCTTGCTCGTTCGATTTTTAAAAAGGAGAACGTGTGTTATGAACGGGACCAAGACGAAGTATGGATGCTCACTAGTTTCTGTACTTGTTCCGGTGCTTCTGTCTTGCGACAATCAGCAAACAGGACGTAAAACATTTTTAATGAACCGTAGGAACGAAATGAGACACGGGTGGTCTGTTTTCGCGAACTTGTGCACCCTGCTCTGGTCGCGCATGCTTTGTGGGTAAATCTTTTCAGAGATGGCAGAGCAAAGGTTGTGTCAACCTAGTCTTATCCAATAAATTTGTATATTTTGCGATGGGAAGAGAGCCTTTGTGCTTGCCTCTCACCTTTGTCAGCGAGTGTTTTGTGTCCCGGGCGGCTCCAGTGTCGCATGTGTGTGCGACGGAGCAGGTGTCCCGGAGACTGAAGCAGCTGACAATTGCAGGGGAGGTGTGGACCGGGAGGCCCTAGTGTCATATGTGTGTGTGTGACGGAGCAGGCGTCCCGGTGACTGGAGCAGATGACAGCTGCACGGGAGGTGTGAACTGGGAGGCCCTAGTGTGTGTGTGTGTGTGTGTGTGTGTGTGTGTGTGTGTGTGTGTGTGTGTGTGTGTGTGTGTGTGTGTGTGTGTGTGCGTTTGCGTGTGCGTGTGCGCGTGCGCGTGCGCGTGCGCGTGCGTGTGTGTGTGACGGAGCAGGTGTCCCGGTGACTGAGCAGATGACAACTGCACGGGAAACGTGGACCGGGAGGCCCTGGTGTCATATGTGTGTGTGATGGAGCAGGTGTCCCGGAGACTGAAGCAGGTGACAACTGCACGGGAGGTGTGGAATGTGTTCAGTGGAATATTTACGTGCAGAAACACGAGTATGTTCTTTTCGACAGCTTGTAGCGCATCTTACATCATATACCCTGGCCGCAGTTGCGTTTCGGATGATCAGATTTTTTCATATACCGGATAGCAGTCGGGCTAACTGATCTGGTATTTTGTCGAGTTATGTTGATCAGTCGAATCTTGCAGCAAATTTTGCGGTGGAAAGACACACGTTGTTCCTGCTAACGACATGCTGCTTTTTCGGGGCGAGAGGTAGGTGTTCTAGGCAGGTCTCTGTACCCTGTATCTTTGACCGGACACGGAGAAGGCTCTTTTACCACGTGTGTATGACCGAACAGGTGTCCGGACCAGGTCCCTGTACCGTGTGTATTGCTAACGATTCTCTCCGGACCGGACAGATGTCCCGGAGGAGCCGGCGGAGGCGGCCGCGCCGGAGGTCGACTCGGCCGGCATGAGTCCGCGCGCGCGCGAGGAGTTCTGGGCCCGTCTGGAGCGCGAGTGGGCCGAGCTGTACAAGTCTGACGAGCACCCCTGGCTCTCCTCGGACAACACCGATCCCTTCAGTCTGCAGGTGGGTTGGCTCGTCGGCCAGCTCAGCGGCCCGCTGGGCTGGGCCTGCACCAGCTGCGCCTGCTGTTTATTGTGTGGATCTTTGGCGGTGTTTGATTGAGAGCGGCCTGTCGGTGGAATATGTGTCGCGCCCTTGGGCCCAATGGACTCGGCGTGCGTAAAATGCTTTGATTCGAGTTTCCTCAGTAATTATATATGCCCTTAATGATGCATGCACGTCGCTGATAGGCTTTAAGTGTGTGGCTTTACCCTTTCTGGACCTTGTAGACAATAGCGACGAATGCCATCGCCATATTCTCATAGTCCCGTCTTCAGTGGACTACTAATTGCTATCCGTGTAGGAGTGTTCCTCTCGCACAAAGCGCTCTGCTATAGCGTCGCTCATAGCTGGCGTAAGTACTGCTGCGTGAGTCACGCGACCTCGCCTGCAGCCAGCAGTTGGCAATCCTGGGGAGGGGCGGGGGTCGTCGCAGCGGCCGGCTATTGAGGCCAGGGTTAGCAAAAACCAGGACAAAACTTATTGTATCCAGCCCACTGTTGCCTAGCTGTAGCGTCCGAGATGAGCCTGGGTTCGGGGGCCGTGCCGTGTCGCGCGGCACGCGGTCGGAGCCTGCGGGTGTGCTCGGCGGCGCACCGTGCTCCAGGGGAGCACGGCCACGCTAAGCCAGTGGGCGGCCGCCAGCGCGCAGGTGACCAGCGGGGTGGGGTGCGCTGGCCGGCCCGGGCCGGGCCGGGCCGGGCTGACCTGGGAGAGTCGAGTAGGAACCGAGGCACGAGTAAGTTCAAACTGGTGTCTTGAGTAATACTGCGTTGTTGTTTGTTTTTGCCGTTGTTTTGCTTTTGTGTTTGTTTGTCGTTTTTATTTTGTTATTCGTTGAGCTTAAAGTATGACGCGCTTTGTCATGCTGCTGCGTTCAGCTGAGTCATAAGCGGATGAGGAAGCATTACACCAGCCCACTGGCTTTTGACCGAATCATACTGGTTCAGAGTGGGTAAAATTGGACTCAACCCGCGATGTAAAGCCCCCACTTTATGACAGCAGAGGTTCTTAGTCCAATCGCATATCAGTGATAACATAAGTTACTTTTGATTTGTTCCTTAAACAATGGTATTCATACAGCGTTTAACATTGAGAGGCATTCAGCAACTGGCAGCACACATGTTGTGTGCTGAAAAATCCAGGTACTTGTGGTACGATGATCCTACTTCACTGAACTGTTATGATAAGTGCTGTAATTCTCTTGCTCGACTCTTGGCCGCGAAGCAATACGTTTTACGCCAGTTTTCTTTTGAAAGCGTTCCGTTTCCCATTGTATCCAAGCAACTTTGAACAGTAGTAATGCTTGGATACCATAATTCATGCTTTATAGTGACAGGTATGACAGTTTTACTTTAACTGGTAGTCAGTAGGTGTGGGGCTTAAACCCATTAACTTTCATGGTATCAAAAGTTGACATTGATTTATTCACTGTAAGTAGAAATTTAAGATGAGAATTATACAATATAATGGCAGTAACTGGTAATAACGGTGGTGATGATGGACATTTTAAGACCTATTATAGAAGGCTTACAATTAATGTAGGAGGTTTCTAATGTGGATGGAAAGTATGTGCTGTAATTGATGTGGCCAAATTCTGATGTAACGTCATACACTGGCATTGTCATTTTCACTGACGCATAAAACGAGACTCAGGTAACATTGGTGATGAAAACGAACATACTGAAGTCCGCTTTGGCAGGTCATATCTTCACCCGCACCGGACGGGACCAACGCTTCCGACAAGGGCAGGCAGACGGTGCATCGGGACACATACCAGGGTGCTGGTCGTGGCCTAAGCTATCTCATTTTATTCGTGTTTGGGTTGCAGGTTAATAGGAGGCCTTCCACGCCACGAAGATAACCTTAAACAGGCCACATGGGAAATGGGAAATTTTCGGGCCTGTATTATTTACAAACAAGTATTTTCGTGGGCACCGGCGTGCTCTTTGCTGTCTTCCGCTTCTGTAAATGTCCGGATGTTTGATTCGGGGTAGCTGAGTGACCTGTTAGGTCAAGGCAGCGTCACCACGGGCGATGGCACGCTCAGTTGTGACGTCAGGTCCGAACAATTAGCGTCATATCTTCAACGTCTACCAGCGATGAAAAGAAAAGCCTCAAGGATGGCTGTCAGCCCCCCCCCCCCCCCATCTCCCTTTCGATGGGCGAGGGGGTACAAAAGGAGGCCTAATGGCATTGGAAGTCAATGGTGCCATGACTTATGATTGCTTGATGCACTCGACGTGTGCTTGTCACCAATGAGGAGGTAAGTTTGGGATACGCGTGCTCTCAAGCCAGGCGGATTTAACAGTTGAGAACGTGTGCTGGTGCTTAAATGGTGAAGTTCTCTTCAAATACGAAAACGCAATATTGATCGGGTGACGCTTGTGAATAGGACTGTCGTGCATTCAAATGTCACCTTTTTCGACACTACGACAGAAACAAGGCTTCTAAGTTTTGTCCAACTGCTGACAAATTCGAGAAGCTAGTTTTGTGTAGCCAGTTTAAGCCAAAGCTATAACGCTATAAGGCTTTAACGTTGCGAGGATGAAAACCGGCTAAATGCAGCTACTGGACAAAGCGTGCCATCCCAGACACCCCGGGCCGGGGTGGGAAGTGGCGGGTCGTACCTCAGGCCGGGTGGGAAATGGCGGGTCGCACCTCAGGCCAGGGTGGGAAGTGGCGGGTCGCACCTCAGGCCGGGTGGGAAGTGGCGGGGCGCACCTCAGGCCGGGGTGGGAAGTGGCGGGTCGCACCTCAGGCCGGGGTGGGAAGTGGCCGGTCGCACCTCAGGCCGGGTGGGAAGTGGCGGGTCGCACCTCAGGCCGGGGTGGGAAGTGGCCGGTCGCACCTCAGGCCGGGTGGGAAGTGGCGGGCGCACCTCAGGCCGGGGTGGGAAGTGGCGGGGCGCACCTCAGGCCGGGGTGGGAAGTGGCCGGTCGCACCTCAGGCCGGGTGGGAAGTGGCGGGTCGCACCTCAGGCCGGGGTGGGAAGTGGCCGGTCGCACCTCAGGCCGGGGTGGGAAGTGGCGGGGCGCACCTCAGGCCGGGGTGGAAAGTAGCCGGTCGCACCTCAGGCCGGGGTGGGAAGTGGCGGGTCGCACCTCAGGCCGGGTGGGAAGTGGCGGGGCGCACCTCAGGCCGGGGTGGGAAGTGACGGGTCGCACCTCAGGCCGGGGTGGGAAGTGGCCGGTCGCACCTCAGGCCGGGTGGGAAGTGGCGGGTCGCACCTCAGGCCGGGGTGGGAAGTGGCCGGTCGCACCTCAGGCCGGGTGGGAAGTGGCGGGGCGCACCTCAGGCCGGGGTGGGAAGTGGCGGGGCGCACCTCAGGCCGGGGTGGAAAGTAGCCGGTCGCACCTCAGGCCGGGGTGGATTTGCAACTGGATTCTTTGTTCAGCGGAGCTTATTGCATACGCTTATTTCGCTAGGTTACTGTCACGGGTAATAATTTATTGATGCCTCTTCTATCGGATGAATAAGTCGTGATGGAGGAGCGATTGTAAGGGAAATGGTGGATGGCTAATGGAATACTGGCATTGCATACCATGATAAGGTGATAATAGAACGCAAAGGAAAGCTCATGGGAGGTGGTGAAAAAAAGATCGAAAAACTTCGCCGGGGTAGTCCGGGCTGCATTTCATTTCTTCGTTGCACCTTGAGATGTGTTGTAATATTCGAAAAGAGAACTGCTGCATTGAGCAGAGCCACCGTGCAGTAAAGCGGTTTCATCACATAGCCTGACAACAGCTGATCGGAGTTGATGCGCCTGCTCTTCTGAAAACCTCTACAGGCGCTCACTTCCGGTTGGCAACACGTCTTTTCCGTACACACGTTGTTCGACACGCGATGTGGCGCGACGGACGCCTCGTCGGCCGGCCTGTCGCCATGTGGGGGCGTGCGTCGGCCGCCGCCTGCGTCCGGCTGGCCGGCGCCGCTGACAGCGTCTCTCGCGCCGCAGGAGTACCGCTTCGAGCCGGACAACGGGCACACGGAGGACCCGGACCCGCTGGCCGAGGGACAACGGCGGCTGGCGGCCGGCGACCTGCCCGGCGCCGTGCTCTGCTTCGAGGCGGCCGCCCAGCGGCAGCCGGAGAGCGTGCTGGCCTGGCGCCTGCTTGGCACCAGCCTGGCTGAGAACGAACAGGTGAGCACCAGCCGGCCGGGAACGAACAGGTGAGCACCATCCTGGCCGAGAACAAATAGGTGAGCACCATCCTGGCCGAAACGAATGGGTGGGCACCAGCGTGACTTGAGAACGAACAGATGAACACCAGCCTGGCTGAGAACGAACAAGTGAGTACCAGCCTGGCCGAGAAAGAACAGGTGAGCACCATCCTGGCCGAGAACAAATAGATGAGCACCATCCTGGCCGAAACGAATAGGTGGGCACCAGCGTGACTGAGAACGAACAGATGAACACCAGCCTGGCTGAGAACGAACAAGTGAGTACCAGCCTGGCCGAGAAAGAACAGGTGAGCACCAGCCTGGCCGAAAACGAACAGGTGAGGGGCACCCGCCCGTCTGCCGGCTCCACGGACCACCGCGGTGGCCGCTACTGACGGAGGCGGTGTCCACTGCGAACTGCTGCTGACGGCCCGAATGTCCACTGCGGGCTGCTGTTGACGACCGGAATGTCCACTGCGGGCTGCTGCTGACGGCCCGAGTGTCCATCCTGGAGGGAGGCGATGTCCACTGCGGGCTGCTGCTGGCGGCCCGAGTGTCCACTGCGGGCTGCTGTTGATGGCCGGAGTGTCCGCTGTGGACTGCTGCTGACGGCCCGAATGTCCACTGTGGGCTGCTGTTGACGACCGGAGTGCCCATTGCGGGCTGCTGCTGACGACCGGAGTCGCCCACTGTGGCTGATGTTGACGACCGGAGTGCCCACTGCAGACCTGCTGCTGACTGCTTGAGTGTCCACTGCGGGCTGTTGTTGACTGCCGGAGTGTCCACTGCGGACTGCTGCTGACTGCCGGAGTGCCCACTGCGGACTGCTGCTGACTGCCGGAGTGTCCACTGCGGGCTGCTGCTGACGATCGGCGTGTCCACTGCGGGCTGCTGTTGACGACCGGAGTGTCCACTGTGGACTGCTGCTGACGGCCCGAATGTCCACTGTGGGCTGCTGTTGACGACTGGAGTGTCCACTGCGGGCTGCTGTTGACGATTGGTGGGTCCACTGCGGGCTGCTGCTGGCGGCCCGAGTGTCCACTGCGGGTTGCTGTTGACGACCGGAGTGTCCACGGTGGACTGCTGCTGACGGCCCGAAGTATCCACTGCGGGCTGCTGCCGACGGTGTGTCTGCTGGCTGCTGCCGAGTGTCCGCTCTCGACGGAGGCGGTGTCTACTGTGGACTGCTGCTGACTGCCGGAATGTCCACTGCGGGCTGCTGCCGACGGTGTGTCTGCTGACTGCTGCCGAGTGTCCGCTCTCTACGGAGGCGGTGTCTACTGTGGACTGCTGCTGACTGCCGGAGTGTCCACTGCGGGCTGCTGTTCACGACCGGAGTGTCCGCGGCTGTGGTGTCCACTGCTCCGCTACTGACGGCTGTGGTGTCCGCTACTGAATGCTAGATAGCCCGCTGCCAACTGCTTCGGATGTGAATGCCGAGTAGGAGGTGACATGACAAAGTATCGAAACCAAACGATCACTCATCAGAATGTCTTGGGTATAAGGATCGTTTGGATAACGGTCGTAATGGAAAAGGTCGTAGGAGATAGAGATCCTTTGCCGAAATGCCATGTGGAGGTGTATTATGGTTGTTGCGCGCGCGGGCGACTGCCCGGCTGCCGCTGGTATTCTGCGTCACCGGCTGCCGCTGGTGCTTTGCGTCGATGGCTGTCGCTGGTGTCTCTTGCTAGGGCGCCTTCCCTGGTCTTACTGCGGAAGATTCTTCGCACACCACCTCCCGCGAGCAGCCCATTGTTGTACAGCCCAAGTTATGTGCGCAGCCCATTGGTCAGCATGCGAGCTGGATGATGTTAAGCGCACGGCCCAGCATGTACAGCCTCATGTACAAACAGCACTCACATGTGAGCCACAAAGCTAGGATGAAGTGGTTGGCCGGCGTATCAGGATGGTCGGTCCGGTCAGGCACCACACATGTATCTGCTGAAGAGCAGGGATGCTGTCGTCTGACTCTGCCTGACTCGTGACCATAGTCGAGCCGGATCGCTCGCTCTTGGTCCACATTATGGTCCCTCGCGGACTGGACCCAGCCAGAATCATAGGCGTTCTGTTTGCTGAATGGGACCCAGGCGTCGAGCAGCCCAAATTAGAGCATTGTGCCCCGCGGAAATGTCTCCACCGGGGAGACCAGAACTGCCCTCGCCGGGCTCCTGCAGTCCAATGTATGAAAATGATGGTGCACATTCTGTCATGTGATCGATCTATTACATATTGTGCGCATCAAAATGAGTGCCGAGCGTGCCTTACAGATTTCGGCTACCGGATGCAAATTTTCCGGAGAGGGGGGGGGGGGGGGGCGAAGGGGATAGAGATCTGAAGCCTCCGCAGCGATGAAACGACATCCAAACGTGAAGACTTGCTTCCACCTTGGTTCCTTGAGTGCAGTTACGCTTCATAACCCCACTCTTTAGAAGGTTTACCATCTGTTACGATGCCATTTAAGTATATTTAGCCCCGGTGATCCCTGCCTCATACAGTGGTGGATAATGGTTTTTACTTGCCTTTTGCTTACGATTCTCTGTTGTACAATATTTGTCCATGGCCGTATTTCTAGAGATTATCGTAATCTCATACCACCTTTTTGTGCGATCTTAAGCAATACAGTGTTTATCGATGATGAGTTTTGAGTCTCAAACGATCTTTTGCATTGTATATTTGTCATGCCATATTTTGCGTGCGATGCCCAGCCGTGTACGAGATTTGGCCACCTGTGGTGTGCTATGGTGGTCACTGGACGGTTGTGGCGTGCTTAATTAGTGGATGTGCTGTGCACCGGAGCAGCCCGACGCGCATATGACACCTGCTGTGTTGCCGGGTTCAAACACCGTGCTTTGTGCCCAGGACCCGCAGGCCATCACGGCTTTGAGGAAATGCATTGAGCTGGAGCCGACCTGTCTTCCGGCCTACATGGCTCTAGCAGCATCTTACACCAACGAGTCGTATCCAATGCAAGCCTGCGCCACACTCAGGGTGAGTCATTAGGCGTCCGTGGCACACTCGGGGTGAGACGTTGGGAGGAGTCCGTGGCGCACTCAGGGTGGGTTGTCAGGCGCATCCTGTGCCACGTTGAGGGTGGGGGTGATGGGGTGCATCCTCTGCTGTACTGTGTCGCACCCGGTTGCTCTCTTCACCTGTGTCCCGAGGTAGAGGATGCGTCTTACGGATGTTCTACTGATGTGTGCCGCTGTCCACGCAGTGACGCGTGTAGATTTGCCTCCGACGCAGTGCGTTGTAGATCACATTCGAAACGTCATATGCGCTCACTGAAAGATGTTCCGTGTTCAACTAGGTTCAGACAAAGACATGTGCGCAGCGCAGACGTCTAATACTCAGCGTAGGCGTGTACGACTCTTAGCGAATGCGGGATTACTCTAATCGCAGACAGGAACCATTCTTTGCACAAACATATATTGTTCTCAGCGCAGACATGTACCATTCTCAGTGTAGACCTGAGCCATAGTCGGCGCAGGGATGCATCATTCTCAGCGCATACCGGTACCATTCCCCACGTAGACATGTGCCACTCTCGGCACAATAATGCACCATTCTCGCGCAGACATTTCCATTGTCAATGCACGCTGTGCCGTGCACCTTGTCCCAACCTTAACTTGTCAATTGAATTAGACAGTTCACTGAAATTTAAAAGCAAGTGACGCAAATCCTTGGCTGAAGAGATTGATATGGGAGAATGAGAACGATGTTTTTATTTCTGTTGCGTTCTTGGTCAGTCATGTCACGCCTTGCAGGAAACAGCAACATCGGCCTCGCCAAGAGGGCTTTCGGTCTTTTTACCGACCGCCGACAGACTGTGAAGGGTGGCAATGGGCCGAGCCTTGAGGTTCCGTATGACATGGTTCAGGGCAATCATATGCAGGCGACATGCAGCTCATGCGTGAATCATCACCATCTGCCTGTGGTCTCACACAGCTGCGTTCGTGTGTTAAGTCCGATCTGACTGCAGTCGCAGTATGGTTTCGTCACAATGGCATGAAGATCAACCCATCAAAACTGAATTCATTGTTGCTGGCACACCCACCAACACTTGCAAAGCCACGGGGCTGAGCGTGCGTTTTGATAACTCCCAGCTGTCTGCTTTAGAGTACATCAAAAGGCTAGGGGTGCTCATGGATAAATATCTCAACTGGCAGCATCAAACGGCCAAAACTACTCAGCGCTGTTTTTGCTCGCTCATAGCTATTAACGAGCTTAGGCATGTGCTTTCCAGCTCCACAATAAAGTACCTAGTTGAGTCACTGGTCTTTCCTCACTTCAGATATTGTTTACCTGCATGAGTCCCGACGACAGCCGTTCAGCGCCAGCGCCTGGATAAGGCCATTAACTTCGCGGTCAGAATTGTTGCCGGCAAACGCAGACGAGATCACATCACGGAATCCCCCAAACAGCTAAATTGGCCCATTTTCGACGAGACTGTCACCCACCGCGACTGCGCATGTTTGCATCGCGCCATTTACGTGCCTGATGGGCCACGGGCTATCAGTAATCTGATCAGGCGTCGATCCGAAGTATCTCAGCGGCACACCACAGCCACCGATGACGAAACTGTACTGCAGACGAGCGCTGTAAAACACCCTCGCTTAGAGTGTGTAAAAAGGGCATTTCCCTATCGAGCCGTGGCGGCGTGGAATCGCCTCCCTGCTGCCGCGCGCCAGTGCAAAAACTTAAATGAGTTCAAGGGCAGAGCAATGTCTTTCATCAGAGAACTTACCTGGATTGGCCAATTGGCCATGACGTGCTGGTGCTGATTGTGTCATTAGTCGCTCATGTTTTGTAACATTGTATGTGTATCGCTGGCGTTGCGTCCCATTTGCATGTGTTGCGTGTTCTGTGTTTATCTATGTGGTATGTTCTGTCGCGGCGTTAGAATAGCCACTCGCTGGATTTCGCCAAGGTGCGCAATAATAATAATAATAATTAGACTGGCCAGTTGTTCTCGGTCATACCAGAAATCTTCCGATGTTCTTAGCAATACTGGACATGCAACGATTCTCACACCAGTCCAACTGGGTACATATCGGATGTTAATGACCCACTGCGTTCTACGACCAGCAGGCGCGCGCACACAACGGTTTGCGATGTCTAGCGGTGTCTATCGTTTGGGATGTTGTGTCTGGAGATGCTTGGCAACGACCCGGTGCTAACGTTTGTGACTGATGACTGTGGCTCTTAGAATTCCTAGTCATTAGTTGTCGTGCGCGGTGCGGCCGACAGGGATAGGGGAGATCGGCGTGCTGCCGATCGCCGTGCCGTGCCCCACCGTGCGCATCTCTGCCCGGTGACAGTGGGGTGTAACCTCGCCGTGTGGACAGTGTGATGCACCCCACCGCGCGCATCTCTGCCCGGTGACAGTGGGGTGTGACCTCGCCGTGTGGACAGTGTGATGCACCCCACCACACGCGTCTCTGCCCGGTGACAGTGGGGTATGACCTCGCCGTGTGGACAGTGTGATGCACCCCACCACACGCGTCTCTGCCCGGTGACAGTGGGGTATGACCTCGCCGTGTGGACAGTGTGATGCACCCCACCGCGCGCGTCTCTGCCCGGTGATAGTGGGGTATGACCTCGCCGTGTGGACAGTGTGATGCACCCCACCGCGCGCGTCTCTGCCCGGTGATAGTGGGGGTGACCTCGCCGTGTGGACAGTGTGATGCACACACCACACGCGTCTCTGCCCGGTTACAGTGGGGTGTGACACTACTCGCCGTGTGGACAGTGTGATGCACCCCACCGCGCGCATCTCTGCCCGGTGACAGTGGGGTGTGACCTCGCCGTGTGGACAGTGTGATGCACCCCACCACACGCGTCTCTGCCCGGTGACAGTGGGGTATGACCTCGCCGTGTGGACAGTGTGATGCACCCCACCACACGCGTCTCTGCCCGGTTACAGTGGGGTATGACCTCGCCGTGTGGACAGTGTTATGCACCCCACCGCGCGCGTCTCTGCCCGGTGACAGTGGGGTGTGACCTCGCCGTGTGGACAGTGTGATGGTACAGTGGGGTATGACCTCGCCGTGTGGACAGTGTTATGCACCCCACCAGCGCGCGTCTCTGCCCGGTGACGTTAGGAGGGAATCGCTGTGCGCAATGTGGCGATGCCATGTGGCGGTGCGACCCGTGTTGTGATGAATGGTGATGATGATGGTGATTAGGATGCGATGAGACTGGATGATGTCACGTTGTAACGTGCTTGACTTGATCAGGGGCCATGTGCTGCGTCGGCAGGGTGGTGTCAGTTGTCTGACCTGCCCTCATCAATGTCCAGTGTGCACTCCTGTGATCTGGTGTGTGTGTCTCGCTGCGGCGGCAGGAGTGGCTGCGGCACCACTCGGACTACAGGCACCTGGTGTCAGAGGAGGCCGCCGCGCGGCCGGCCGGCGTGTTTCAGCCGTCCGTGGTTACGCCGTGAGTTCCCGCGAGTCACGCACGCACGCACGCACTCACGCACATCGTCTGGCCGGGTTTGGGTCGCTGCGAGTGCCGCCGGTGCTACTGTCGGCCGCGCCCGGTCGTCCGCCCCGCTGGCTTCGGTCGGCGCGGACGCTCCGCGACGGCGGCCGTCACCTACCGCAGCGCCGCGGTGCTGGTGCCTTCGTCGACGCGCACCAGCATGCGTGTACGAAATTAAGGGGACGTGTGTGTGTTTGCTGGTGTACGCATTCGCTGTCCGTCTGCAAGCGTTGAGGTATTGATGCTGATGGACACGCCGTTCTGTCGTGGTGTCAGCGCGCGTGCGCCTTCCCTGAGACGCCGTCGTGCGGCTCGTGCGCGCTCCGTGGCCTGCGCGCCGAACGTTCGGGGCCTGACCGCGCCGTGGCGCCGCCGCCAGCGACTTCCATGACCGGGTGCGGGACGAGTTCCTGGCGGCGGCGCGGCTGCGGCCGAGCCGGCCCGATCCGGACGTGCAGTGCGGCCTGGGCGTGCTGCTGCACATGGCCGGCGAGTACGAACGCGCGGTGGACTGCTTCAACGCCGCACTCATCGTTCAGCCAGAGGTCAGTGTGGGGCGCCTGGTCCTGTCACGGGTGGTCAGGGGTCAGTGTGGGGTTGCCCGATCCGGTCACAGGTGGCCAGAGGTCAGGGTGGGGTGCCCGGTCCGGTCACGGGTGGTCAGGGGTCACTGTGGGGCGCCTGGTCCGGTCACGGGTGGTCAGAGGTCAGTGTGGGGTGCCCGGTCCGGTCACGGGTGACCAGAGGTGAGGGTGGGACGCCCGGTTCGGTCACGGGTGACCAGAGGTCAGTGTGGGGTTGCCCGGTCCGGTCACGGGTGGCCAGAAGTCAGCAGAGAGGCAGCTTGTGAAGTCATGTTGAATATCGGAAGTGACAGACATTATGATGTCTAAAAACAGCCTTTCAGCTCACACCAGTGCCGCAAACGTCACCATTGGCGCTTATTTCATTGCTATAAAATGCACATAATAATATGCAATAGTTAGTTGCATGCATGCGATTGTTCAAAAACCCTATTTTATGTCACGTGTATGCAATACGTAGTATTAAATGAACACGCAATTGGCGGCATCCCATCGGGAGATGCCGCTGCCTTCTACGCATGTAACTGAACAGGAATGGGTATTCCAATCATTTTTAAGTAAAGACGTCGGTTTTCTTCGATGGGCGCATTGGTTTTGATATTGATTCTGAATGTTTTCCTTCCAAACGGCATTTTACGATGCGTTGCTTTCTCTATATGCGTTTCCAATGCGCATTTCCAACAATCCCGTAAAAGTAGATTATAGCCGGGCTCTTCGATGAATGTGCCATATTGCGGCTACATTACATTCGTGGAAGTTTTCCCACGCTTAAGGGCTTGAGCGTTCCAGGAATCCGCCGCCCGCCACTTGACCTTTGGTCCTGCTCCAGGAAGTCAAGCTATGGTTAACGTCCTAGAGCGAGTGCCGCTGCCGTGCTGTGTTACGTAAAGCCTTCCAGTTGCGGGTCGGACAGTGGTAGCGCGCTCCCTCCGGCCTGTTCACCACCGACCTCTCCGATGCTGTCCTGCCACCGACCTCTCCGATGTTGTTCCACCGCTGACCTGTCCGATGCTGTCCCACCACCGACCTGTCCGATGCTGCCCCGCCGCTGGCCCGTCCGATGCTGCCCCGCCGCCGACCCGTCCGATGCTGCCCCGCCGCCGACCCGTCCGATGCTGTCCCACCACCGACCCGTCCGATGCTGTCCCACCACCGACCTGTCCGATGCTGTCCCACCACCGACCTGTCCGATGCTGCCCCGCCGCCGATCCGACGATGCTGTCCCACCACCGACCTGTCCGATGCTGTCCCACCACCGACCTGTCCGATGCTGTCCCACCGCCGACCTGTCTGATGCTGCCCCGCCGCCGACCCGACGATGCTGTCCCACCACCGACCTGTCCGATGGTTTCGCGCTGTCGCCCAACTGCTGACGCTGGCCGGACAGTTGCTGGTCGGCTGTGGAGAGTCGCTCTCGCGGTCCCGGGTCAGCCGGCTGTGGAGAGCCGCTCTCGCGGCCCCGGGTCAGCCGGCTGTGGAGAGTCGCTCTCGCGGCCCCGGGTCAGCCGGCTGTGGAGAGTCGCTCTCGCGGTCCCGGGTCAGCCGGCTGTGGAGAGTCGCTCTCGCGGCCCCGGGTCAGCCGGCTGTGGAGAGTCGCTCTCGCGGCCCCGGGTCAGCCGGCTGTGGAGAGCCGCTCTCGCGGCCCCGGGTCAGCCGGCTGTGGAGAGCCGCTCTCGCGGCCCCGGGTGAGCCGGCTGTGGAGAGTCGCTCTCGCGGCCCCGAGCCAGCCGGCTTGTGCGCCAGGACTCGAAGCTGTGAGCTGCCAGCTTGAACTATACACCTCCGCCGGGAGTGGGAGGGGAGGGCGCCTTTTACGAGCACGTGCGCGATCAGAAGTGCAGTACGACACAGACATCTTATTTAGTTTGGCCAGTGCGATTGGCTGGTCTGAAATGGAAATTTTTCGTCTGCGTTTCGTGACTTGATTATCATTTCCCCATTGCACAGATGCCGTGTTAAGCACTATGTCATGTGTACGCACGGCTTGACTGCATATGGTTTTGCATGTGCAGACATGTCTGGGATGATTCGGCAGAAATGACGACCGCACAGCTGATGAGTTCGTCTCGATAGCCTAGTTGGTCTTAGCGCCCGCCTTCCGATCCCCCCAGCCGTGGTGGGGGTGGGGTCAAGCCGCTTTGGGCGCGCGCTGTTTGGCCCCAACGAGGCCTGCGGCCGGTGGCGGCGGCCGCTCTTAAGGTAAGGTGGCGTTAGAGGGTAGGGCGGACCGTGCCGAGCTTTATGACACATTGACCTTTCGCCACCATAGTCTGCCGTTGACCTGGCATTGTACGATCGTTTGGTACGGGTCAGGACTCAAATAGCTCTTTCTTCTTTGATCTTCAGAGGGAACGAAAAATGCAGAAACAATTAATGAGGTACATGTGCTGTTCCGTTATTGTTGTACAGTAGGCTTCACGCCGTGTCCGGCGGAGGCCGGCGCTGGGGCGAGGTCTCCAGCGAACCTCAGCTGATGGGCAGACGGCTGGGTGGCGGGCATGAACTACTTCAGGATTTTGACTGGACGGGGTTGGGAGTGGGTCCTCTCCACCAGTGACAGCGAGATAAACCCAATGAAAGCGTTGTTTCCCGGCAGCTCACGCGCCATCTGGTTTTACGCGCCTCAGGGAGAGACAGTGCTGAACATATCCAGGATAGGAAGAAAAGATTCTCCCTCTTCGTCATTTAGTTCAATGGAGCACAGACCTGTCCCTTAGACGCTTCTTCCAGAGGAGCCAAACTGTTTTCCCTCAGGGAACTTATCGGATCAGAAAGTGAACTCTGATTTGCTTTTTCGTTTCACCTTTGCTCCTTGCTGAGCAGTACCATAATTCAAGTCAATGTATGGGGCACATCAACTAAAATTCAAGTCTGGACCGTAAATAAAAACTTCAGCACCTAAACCGAGCGTACAGTGGTGCGTGCGTTCTTGTGTGCGTGTGGGTGCGTTTGTACGTCAGACAAATTCTGAATTCCATCAGCTGAAACTCTATTGACGCAGTCGGTGAATGCAAAGATCAGGGCAAGGATGTCACCAGTTTGCCTGTTGCGATTCTGCTGGATTCCATTTTGATTGACTCAATTTCATAAACTGTTATGATCGACAGCGAGTTGCATCCGGCCACTTTGGCCGGCAGGCCCACGTAAAATGGAAGCACTTAAATGCCAGCACGCTTGGGAGGAAGCTGTGATGAGCTGGAGACAAATCCTGGCGCGCTCAAACGCCATCTGTCTGTGCCAATGGGTTAGCAATAAGGTCGAACGCTCCGGTCTCCTCGAGTGTGAAGCTTTGGCTTTGGGAGCGATATAAACCGGCCGCGAATTCAGATGTGCTCATGCTTCGATTGGTCAGATAGAGTCACGTCGCAGCAGAATCAAACCCCGGTTGCTGTGATGATAAGCCACGGATTCTGCGTCGCGGCAGTGGGCGCAGCGTTGCTTTGGTCCTTGCTGCGTGATGTTCCAAGATCCGGAGGTGGAAAAGACAAAATTGCGTACGTGTACACAACCCCAGATATTACATTGACAAGCACCATTTTTTTCGACGGCCACCAAAGTTTTTTTTTTCGACGGCCCACCTGACGCACCGGGTCAACTCTCTTCTCTTAATCTGAATCTGGATAATCCCGCAGGTGCACCGGCTTCGGCCGGTGTAGGGGACTAGCGGCCCCTCGGGTCCCAGCTCCGGTAACGGGTGGACAGCGCAAGCTGTTCCTTTCAGGGCGTAGCGATCCTGCCGGTACGTGAGCTCCTGCTCCTTGTCCCGCCCGCTCCGCTTCCCATTTCCCTTTCTCCGTCATCCGGCCCCATCACCACTCCTCATCCTCGTTTTATCGGGGTCGCCGTGCCCCCTCGCCCACGTCCCCGGGTTGATCGGATCCTGGTTGCTGAGGGGCGCGTCGTGCGGGTCAGTCACGGCGCGTCCCAACATTCCACTTTGGCCAGAATATCCGGGGGCGTGGGGGGCCCGTGGGGCCCCACGCAGGTCTAGCGGCTTGTCGCTCGCGTTGCGGTTGGGTGCTACTTGCGGGTTTCCGCTTGGGGCGCCTGGCCGCGCTCAGCGGCTTAAGGGGTCAAGGGGCGGCGGCGCCGAACCACGGTCAGGACGGGGAGGGGTCTGCCCGGTTACACCTGGCCGTGTGGGGGGCGTCGATCGCCCCGTATAGCACCGGGGTAGCCCTGGCGGAACCACCACCCCCTGGGTGAGTGGGCCGTCCCCCAGTTGGGCTCCGAGGTGGGTGGGGAGCCTCGGTGCCGAATGTTGCAACCTTACACGCATGGCAACTATAAACTCAAAAAACACCCGCACCCCGAAAGGGGGGGGGGGGGCGGACTGAGGCTACAGGTGGTAGCGCGTCAGCGCCTACCCCTCGGATCTTGATTTTCCGAAGCGCCGAGAAGCCGTTGTCGTCCCTTTCGCCATTTCAAAGGCGAAATGGGCGTGATCGGTTTGGAAAGGTGCTCCGATGCGATAAGCTCGAGGACGGTGGGATCGAGGTTGAGTTCCAGAATGGAGAGGAGGCCAAACGGGCCGGGACCTCGGATAGGTTTGTGTACTGTGTACGGGATGCGGAGGGGAAGAAGGACGTGTCAGTGGCGATGACTGTGGAGGTCCATAGGAAAAAGAACTCGTCAAAGGGTATCATGAACTGTTTTGACCTGAGAGATGTCAGTGATGAGGAGATAGTCGACAGTCTCGCTGAGTTCGGGGTAACGGATGCTCGGCGCATCAAGGTGCGCAGAGGTGCGGAGCTGGTCCCCACGACAACATTGTGCTGACTTTTAATCGTCCTGACATACCATCTGAAGTAAGGGTAGGCTATGTGAAGGTAAAGGTGCGCCTTTTTATTCCGAACCCCATGAGATGTTTTAAGTGTCAAATGTTTGGACATACGAGGGATTTCTGCGGCAACCAGCCAGCATGTGGCAAGTGTGCTTCTCCGGAGCACCCGATCGATCAG